AGGTGGGAGAACTAAGCACATTGATGTAAAGCATCATGTGGTGAGAGAGTTGCAACAACAAGGGTTAATCCAACTAGACTACTGTCCCACAGGAGACATGACAGCAGACATCTTCACGAAGCCGTTGTCGAGAGGTTATCAGAAATTAAGAGAAAAACTAAATATTGTGGGACACAGAGACATGCAAGGTTGAAAAGAAGGGGTATTGGAAAACATGGGGTTTCAACCAAGCCTGTCTCACACGAGCATAAAGGGAGGGGCGGCTTCGCTGCAGCCTAGCTTTGCTGCTTTGTGTGGGAGCGGCTTGTAGCCCTCCTTTTTTCCTGTTTCCCTCATTTTCCTTCTCTTCTCATGGCTCTCCAAGAGGTAGGAATGAATCCTCTCTCCTCCTCAGGGTTTTTGTAGTAACATTTCACAACCCCAACACTTATCAGCTAGCCACTGATAGCACATAAGCATATTATTTCCGTGCCAAGAAAAACTGCATCTATTCAATTTGTTGTTCAGTCGTTAAGTCGTGTCCGACTCTTCGTGACCCCAGGTCTTGCGCCAGGCCTTCCTGTCCTTCACTGCCTCCCTAGGTTTGCTCAGTTTCACGCTCATTGCTTCAGGGATGCTATCTAACCATCTCATCCTCTGCCATCCTCTTCTCCTTTTGCCTTCAGTCTTTCCCAGCATCAGGGTCTTTTCCAAAGAGTCCTCTCTTCGCATTAGGTGACCAAAGTATCTGAGCTTGAGCTTCATTATCAATCCTTCCAATGAGCAGTCAGGGTTGATTTCCTTTAAGATTGACTGGTTTGACCTCCTAGCAGTCCAGCCTTCTTTATGGTCCAGCTCTCACAGCCATACATCTATTCAATGCCTGGTATAAAAAGGAAAATTGGGGGACAAAATACATTTCCCCTTATCACATACATAGAAGTAAAACATAGCAGCAAGGTGCTATAAAAGCTGGCCATTCTAAGTGCCGAGAGGACTTCTCAATGGCATTTCCCTGTCCTAAAGGGACTATTGAGAACCACATTGCTACAAATGAAAAGACAGAGTTAATGAAAAGCTCATTCTCAGCCATTTAGGTTGGAAAAGCAAAATGAAAATCTGGGGTGGAATGACTCTAGACTCAGTTTATTTTCTTTACATTCAAAAATTGTGCATTAGGGATCTTCCCAAGCCAAGTGCTTTTAGTATGTTTTAGACCAGCTCCCATCTCCCAGCTATACTGAGATGATGGAAATTGTAGCACAACCCTACTGGAAAAGCTGTATTCTCTGATCTTCCCAGTTACCTCTTCATTTCTTAAATGCCCCTCCAGGCAATTATGTTCCTAGCTACATGCTTGTTCTCAGAACCAGATAATGGCTTTAATTATTTGAAAGCAGTCTGTTCCAGAGAAGCATGCCAAAATTAGTAATTTGTAATAAATTGGACTTCAGGTTTGGGGTTGGGCAGGCAAGGGAGTCACAGGTTTAGGATCTATGTAGGAGATCATAGTCTGTAATCTGTAATCAAGCAAACTTTAATAAAACATAATGTTTGTTTTATGATCTAGCAAGATTCAGAGGTGGGAGGTTGTTACTGTTAACAGAAAGGAAGGTGATGAATTGGAGTGAGTACATGAACATCTTATTTGCATTCTTTCTCAAATGTTTAATGTTCATTTGCTTATTCCACCTTTAATATCTATGTCAGCCTTGGGGAAATGGAAAAGTGGGTATTGGGTGTTAAATTCAGCTCTGTGTCTCAAAGTTTTATTGTTACTATCTGCAGCATTGTCTTGCTAATATTGATTACAGATAGGGTTAGATATTGCTACAGATAGGGGTCAAAGGGTTGGAGGGCAGACAGGTAGTGCATTAGGTTTACTGGAGAGCTTGAAGTTGGGGAGAACAGAAAAGGATTAATTGGGGCTTTGAAGGCAGTGCAAACCTGATACAAGCAAGGATTGTAAAAAATAAAATACCATGTGACTAGAAAACCTCTGTATCTATTTCTACAAATTTTGGATGAGTCATTACATAATAATCTAATGTTCTTGCAAATTACACCCCATTGATAAAACAAAACAAAAAACTTAACAAATTTAAAAAAATTAGGCACTATTAAGTGTTTAACATTTTTTCCCATCCCAGATAATATTCACACTCAAGAATTGGAGGTGAGTTGAGACAAGCAAGTCCTTAGACCTACAGAAAACAAATCAGGCTATCTCCTGAGGAGCTGCATTTGAAATAGATTAAGCCGGGGTTCTCCAAAGTGGTCAGTATCAACCCCTAAGGTGTCAATGTTGTTATTATTATTCATAGTACTATTAGTTAAAGTAGTATTTATTAAATTATTTTCATATAATAAATGGGGGTCA